GGGGGGGGGGGGGGAGGGAGCAGGAAGGAGTTGGGGAAGATGGGGAGAACGAGGAGAAGGGGAGGAGGAAGAGAGGAGGAAAGGGAAGGGGAAAAAGAGGGAGAGGGGAGGAAAGGGAAGGGAGGAAGGGGGAAAAAAGAGGAGGGAGTGGGGAAAGGAGAAAAGGGGAGGAGGAGAAGGATGAGGGGAAGGGGTTGGAGAGAAAGGGGGAAAGAGGAGGAGGAGGATAGGAGGAGGAAGGGGTTGAGGAAAAGGGAAGGAGAGGAAGAGAAGGAAGGGTTTGGGAAGGATTGGGAGAGGAGTGGAGGGAAGGGAAGGGGGTAGAGGAGGAGGAGAGGATGAAGGGGGAAAGGGGAGGAGGACGAGATGGAGTGGAAGAGATTGAGGAGAAAGGGGAAAAGTGGAGGGGAGGAGGGGGATGCAGAGGAAGGGATGGGTAACGGGGCAGGGTGAGGATGATGGGGACACCGCTGTCACGCACGGTGTCTTGGGCAGCACCCAAGAAAGGCAGTGCTGGTGCCCAGCTGGGACTCCCCATGCCCCCACTCCTCCCTGTCTCCAGCTCCCTGGCCATCTGCAGCTCCTTGCTGCCAGTGCTGCTCCCTGGGGCGGCCCAGCTCCGTGCTGCTCTGCATGGCTGCATGCTGGGGATTGTGCTGGGGGGCCAGCACTGTGTGCGCCCCACAGCTACCCCACACATCCCTTCCGCCCCATGTAGGCCCCCCTCCTACCCTGCTAAACATTAACCCCATGCCCAGCGAGGCTTGTCTGAGAGCTGGTGCCCCCAAGGCCTCGCCCCATGCCTGGCCCAGGCACGTTTAGGGACACGTGCAGGGTGGCAGCGGCACCTGTGGCCTCTCAATCTACTCGAGGGAAAAGCAGCAGTGCCAGGGCTTGGGGTTATGGGGACAGGAAGGGCAGCGGGGCCTGGAAACAGGAGACACTGGTGGGAGCAGTTTGGCAGCGAGCAGTTTGGGAACATCATTAGGTTGTTGTTCAGCAATGATGATCAGCAGCTGTGAAGGGCAAACCTGGCAGGGAGCTCAGGAACGGGGGCCTGCGTGTGGGCCAGGACACAGGGATGTGAGGATGCCCAGCCCCACGGGACTGTGGGGCAGCAGTGACACTGCTGCCTGGGCTGGGGCTGGAGCTGAGAGGCAGTGTTGAGTGCAGGAGGAACGCTGCCAAGCCGAGCATTGCTCATCCCCTCGGTGGGACGCGGGGCGTCCGAGCAGAGCTGGCACATGGCAGCCAGGAGTGGGCTGTGCCCCGTCCCCCATCCCCACATCCCTCATCACCAACGCTGCAGGACACTCTTGGGAGGCTGTGATTGAGTGTGGTGATAAACCCACCCCATCAGATCTGCGGAGCTGTGTTTTGCTCCTGGCTTCTGTAAAGTTAATTGGGTTAGAGTTTCCAGGAAGAAATGAAGGAGAAAAACACTCTCCCGGTGTGTGGGGCCATTGAATGCTCTCTGGCGAGTTATAATTGCAAATCATGTTTTGAAATCGCATTAACCAATTATTCCTTGTTGTTGTTGTGCCCGGCTGCAGGACAGCGTGTGCATGGAGGAGAGCTGTGCCGGTCCCACCAGCAGGGCGGGCGGTGACACCTGGCACTGGGACCGGAGGCACCCGCTGCCTTGTCCCCAGCAAGAGAGATGTCCGAGGCTTTGTGCTTCAGAGGAGCCACGGGGCTGCAGGTGAAGCTGTTTCCTCAGCTGTGTGCTCCCACCACCACCATCTCAGCTGCAGGAAGGTCGGATGGCAGGAAGCAGAGCATGACCCCATCCAGCCCCCGGCGCCCAGTGCCCGTCCTTCATGGCTGAGGATGCTTGCAGCTGCCCCAGCCCCTGTCCTGGCCGCCCTCATCCAGCACCAGGCAGGGCTGGATCTCGGGGCCACTGATCCCATGCGTGGGCTTGTGCGCAGTGACACAGAGCACGAGGCTGAGGCCGCCTGGGAGTTGGGCATAGGGCAGCACTGGTGAGGGCAGATAGAGGGGGCAGAGTGCAGGTAATGGGGTGGTTCTGTGCTTCTGAGTCTGTTCAGTGATTCTCAGCCCAGGGGAGGCTCTGCAGAGACCTTACAGCAGCTCTTCCAGTACCTAAAAGGGCTAAAGGAAAGCCCTTGTCCTCTACGGAAAGGGAATATTTACAAGGGCATAGTCGGATAGAAAAAGGAGGAATGGCTTTGTACTAAAAGGTGGAGATCTAGGTGAGATGTTAGAAGTAAATTCAGAGGGTGGTGAGGCGCTGGCAGTGCTGCCAAGAGCTGTGGGTGCCATCCCTGGAGGTGCCCCAGGCCATGGAAGGGTCCTGGGCAGCCTGAGCTGGGGGACAGCCAGACCATGGCAGGGATGGGCCTGGGGGCTGTCAGGTTCTTCCCAGCCCAACCATGCTGTGATCCTATGATTCTATGATTCTATGATTCTATGATTACGGTTCTGTGTGCTCCAGTCCCAAGGCTCGGCGACTTTTCTCCCTTCTCACTGCTCCAATTTCCTGCAGAGCCCGGCTGGGCATGGCTCGAGTTCATCTGGAAGGAGAGGAGCAGAAGCACGGCATGACGGGGCGTAAGGGAAGGGATGACACCGCAGGGCTGTGGGGCTGAAGACCACCAGCCATATCTGTAAGTCACGGGGGTCTGAGCCCTGTCCCCATCCCATCCCCACCAGGCTCAGCCCGTGGCTGTGTTTGCGCTCAGGGCGGCAGCTCCTGCTGTGTTTACAGCCCCGTACGAGGCACGGTGCCACGTGGCTGCTGGGTGCCCGCCCTCGCTGGGGCGGGGAGGGTTAAACGGATGGAGCACAGAAGCTCTGGTTGTCCTGACCCCCCCGCGCCGAACCTGGCCGCTTCGCTCCAGCACGCCAGCCAGCGCTGGTTCAGCACTTACGCATGATGCTGTTATTAGAAATTAGTTAATGGATGTCTCCGACCGAATGAGAGCGGTGGCAACGGGCACATGGGGGGCAGGAACGGCCGCGGGTGCTCACGTGATGCGCAGCACCCACCCCAGTGCCGCCCTCGGGTGCTGGGGAGCGGGACGTGTGCGAGCGCGATGCTCGCTGGGGCCGCCGATCTGCTTCATAGGAGAGATGTATGGGACCTAACTGCAGCCCCTTAGGGCCGTGTGGGGCAGGCCTTGGGGCAGGCGAGGTGCCTTGTTGGTTGGTGGTGCTGCAGCCTGAGAGGTGTGTAAGGAAGAACCCCCCGAAGCAGGCAGGCCGCTGGGTGCGATGGCACAGGGACTGCCACCCATGGAGCCCCAACGCTGCAGTGCAGATCTCCCCCTGAGCAAAACCCCATGGCCACCAGCGGGGTGCAGTGCCAGCAAGCAGGGCTTTGAGCCCCGTGCAGTGCCTGGGACCCACACTAAGGGAAACAGCAGCCCCAGGCTCCTCGGGATGCCCTCAGAGCAGAGATGTCCTCGTTAGCGGCTCTTTTTGAGGGGACAAACCCCAACATTTCATCGGTAAAAGGTGCTCTCAGCACAAGCAGGGGAGCCTGGAGGGGTTCCGGGGGCACCGCACTGTCCCTCCCCCCTCTTTTCCCCCCGTTCTGGAGGCATCCGCATTTATGCCCCCCCGCCCCTCTCCGGTGCCCGCCCGTTCCCAGCCCTCGGGGTGGGGTAGCCGCGGTGGCCGTGCCCGGTGGCAGCGGGGCCGTGTGCTGCGTGCGCCTCCCCCTCGCCACCGGCCTCCCCGTAGGTCCGCGTTGACGCTGCGCGGAGATTGGGAGCCGTGGCACGAGGGGCGGGCCTGGGCTCCCGTTTAATCCCCGCTCTGTCGGGATTAGGGCCGGAGGAGACTCGGTAATCTGCCGGAGGCTCGGCACGCAGCTGGGGCTGGCAGCGAGGCAGCGCCGAGGGGACGGGCAGGTAGGTCCGGCGGGACTCACATCCCCGCGCTGTCCCCGCTTTCCCCCTGTCCCGTGCTGGGAGCGAAGGCTGCAATAGGTCCCCCCCTTCTCCGGGCCCCCCCCGGAGTCCCCTCGCCGTGCCACCTCCGCGCCGCTCACCTCCTCCTCCCCTAACTCCAAAAGTTCCTCCGGAGCCCCGAGCCGGGAATGCTGCAGAAGGAAGGAGCCGCTGGCCGCCTCCCCCCGGCGCGCTGCCCCACGGCACGCTGCCCCACAGCGCAGTCGCTCGCAGGTGGCACAGCCGGAGCAGCGCAGGGGCTGTTTGCTTTGCTTTGCCTTCCTCTTCCCTCTCCAGCTGCTGAAACCCTCCCACAACGTATAAAAAAATCCTGCGAATGCTCGTAAAGAGGCAGAGCTGCAGCCCTCGGGGGAGCCCCGCCGCCCCTCGCGTTTCTCAGCCCTCTTTGCTCTGCTGCAACCCCTCGCACTCCCCTCCCTATTTTTTTCCCTTCTTTTTTTTTTTTCTTTCTTTTATTTTCCACTTTAATTTTTAATCAGCCGTGCCAGCGATGTGTGTGTGTGTAAGTGCTGGAAAGCGCGGCGGTCGCATCGGGTGTCAGGGGCTCCCACGCGGTGGGGCCGTGTGCGCCGTGCGGGTATTTTTAGGGCAGAGCACAGCGCGGCCGTGACGTCTGCAGCGCTCCGTGTGTCTGCGGGATGGCAGGAGAGCTCCTGGGGAAAGAGAGGCACCGCCGTCGGGCTCCCATCTGCGGGCACACGGGGCGGCCCCGGGGCTGCGGGACTGCCGTGCCCACGCGGAGGAGGAGACGGGAATTTTCCATAGGCAACCGGATGGTGCCCGAGCTCGGCGGTCGCATCTGACGGCGCACGGGCTGTCGCTGCAGAGACGGTGTCCAGCTGCCCGCCGCGCCCCCCCAGCGGCGGATGGGGAGCGGTGTGGATGCTCGGGGGTGGCATCGGGGTGCTGCCGCCGCGGGGAGCCCGGCTCAGGTGCAAAGGTCCCGCAGCGCCCGGCTGCGCTGCAGCTGCATTCGCACTGGGGCCGTGGCCACGGCAAACAAACGGGCCCCGGCCGAGGCTGTTTTCCTTGGCGCAGGGGAACCGGGGGGAGGACTGGGATCCCACGGGCTCCTCGGACTGAGAAAACAGAGGCCCCTGCCCTCTGTTTTCTCGCCACGGGGTCCCGGCCACCCCCGCATCCGCAGCACCACAGGGTTGCTGACGCAGGGCTGAGGACAGCTGTGACCCTGGTGGATGGTGGTGCGTGTTTTTGGGTGCTGGATACTTGGTGGTACCCCATGAAGGTGTGTGTTAGGACACTGAGAGGTGTCATCCTTCCTAGGTGTGATGGAAAAGCTCAAATTGTGGTTTCAGGCAGTCTGCGTGTTTAATCTCTGCCACGTGCTTGGCACCTTTGTTCTGTGCCTCAGTTTCCCCATAGCCCTTCAGGGGAGGACATGCCAACTGTGCCACCCTCTGCTCGTGGTGCCACCACTGTCCCCATCACGTCTCCAACCCTGGCATGTCCACCACTGGAAAAGTGCTGTGCTCATCCCAGTAACGAGGCGAGCACCACTGCTTTGGAGAGCGTATGTGTGGCAAAGGGGCTTGGCTGGCTCAGAGGGGACCATGGCTGCCAGCATGATGGGGCTGCCCATGGCCACGGTGTCAGGACATTCAGAGAACATTCTGTCCTGGGGATCCTCTCCCTGTCCCGCATGGCCATGGGGCCACAGTGATGACAGTTGGGTCACGGCCAGGCCTGGGGCTGCAGGAGGTGTACCTTGGCTGACGTGCTGCTGGCCACTAGCGTGGTGTGCTGTCCCCCCCGCCCTTCGGCTGAGTGCCTGAGCTGGACTCCATGGTGCTGCTGGATGTCCCCTCTGTCCCCATCGCATCCCCAACCCCAGCATGTCCATCACTAGACTGTGGGGGGGGGGAGCTACCTCATGGTGGTCTCCTATCTCCTGAGGGTCTCCATATGGTGCCCATAGAGGGCCTCATCCCAGGAGAATGAGGGGTGGCTGTGCTTGCTGCGCCCATCCTGATGCAGCCCACAGTGCTGGGTGAGGCCGTGCTGTGTTGGGAGGTGGGAGCGCGGCACGTAGCTAAGAGCAGGGCAGGGTGCTAAATTTAGGAAGCCAGGTCAGGAGAAAAACACAGGTCTGTGTTGTGCTGGGCTGGGGGAGGGTGGCCGGCGGTGGCGTGAGGCTGGCACAGGGACCCCAGGCCATGCCAGCAGCCATGCCATCATTGTGCTGCTGTGCCTCCGAGGTGCTGCTGCCGTCACACTGAGCTGGGAACATGAGAGCACCGTGCTGACACCCGAGCAGCACAGGAGCCCGTGGGCACGGGGGGGGGGGGGTGTGCAGCCTCCATCCCAGTGCTGGGCTGCCAGCACTGTGGGGCAGCAGCTGCTGCTGCTTGGCGCTAAATCCGGATTACACCACTGGAGTGCTGCGTCCCCCACCCTGGTGCAGTGGATTAGCGGGTTGGGGTCTGGGCACTGCAGAGCTTTGGGGCTCAGGATGTCCCTGAGCTTTGGCCCCTGCGCATGAAGTGGCACTGAGACAGGGGCGGACGTGGCGTCATTGAGCTCGGTGTGGTGACAAGTGATGGCTGAGCCCACGGGACCTGATGGCACAGCGAAAGGCATCCCTGTGGGCACTGCTTCCCTGCAGCCCCCTGTCCCCGGGCGGTGTTGGTGCCCACAGGGTGCCCACCGCCCCGCTGTGGGCAGCCCTGCGAGGCCCCAGGCTGAGGGCCGCTGCCACACCATCTATTTGCTGTTCTACAGAACCTTATCACAAAGCAAACAGCGTCTGCGGGGGGCACGACCCATGCGTCACCGGTCCCTCGCCCCTTCCCCAGTGCCACCAGCAGAGACCAAAGGCCAGCAGGCGCAGAGGTGGCAGTGAGTGCCGCAGGGCTGTGCCAGCGCTGCCGGCGGGAGGAAGCCGGGGGCGACGCTCACAGCATGACAAATGGGGCCGGGTGTGCTGGGGGAGGCTGGCAGCCCCCGGACGTAGCCATAACCAGGAGGAGGAGGAGGGGGCTGCAGCGGGGGGCACGGGCACCTCACAGCTTGGCACTGGCACTGTAGATGGATATGGGGGGCCGGGCGAGGGATGTGCCGGCAGCGGTGGGAAGGCGCAGAGCTAACGGCAGCGCTGGGACGTGCTGGCAGCCCCGTCCGTGCCTGGATGCAGCCCAAGCTGAGGCCCAGTGGAGGGGATAAATCATCACCCAGCAGCCGCCTGCGGTTCCATCTCTTCCACCACGCGGCTCGGCCTTGCTGTCCTGGGGCCCTGCTGTGCCTCAGTTTCCCCACCTGGATAAGTGCCATGCAGAGGGGTGGCTCGGTGCCACATCCCACCTGTGGCTCAGCCCCGTCACCCCCTGGTGCTACTGGATGCTGCTGGGCTGTGTGTGGCCTGGAGTGACCCTTGGTCCCCAGGTGATTGGGACAGAGCGGTGATGTGACTCACAGGGTTAGGGGTGCTGCAGCCCTTCCCAGGTGTGCCTGGGGGCTGCTGTCCCCTGTGACCCCCCAACCTGGGGTCTCAGTACTGGGCAGAGCCACACACAGAGCCAGGCGGTACCCAGTACTGCTGCTCAACCCCAAGTGCTGGACCAAGAGCTAAAGGATGGGTGCAGCCCCCAATCCTCATGGGGACCTACATCAGTGGGGTGATGGGGAGGCTGCATCCTCCTGGGGCTGGGGATCATCCTGCATCCCACCCTGAAGGCAGCTGACTGTCTATCCCCATGATGGGGATCTGGCATGTGAACCCGTGGGTGGGGAGGACTCCCATCACAGGGTGGCAGGGACACAGAAGGTGGCAGGGGACAGCGGGGGGCAGTGGGGCCGTGGCCCGACTACGAGCCTGCCCCAGAAAGCAGCCCTGTGCTGTTTCCCAGCGGGGCGGGGAGGGCTGGGCGCGCACAGAGGCGGCTTTGTGCCGCTTGCCAAGGCGTCCCCGCTCGGCAGCCCGGCCGCCATCCCCTGCCAAGGACTCGTCTCACAGCCTTGCACTTTCCTGCTCCATCGGTGCCAGCCCTGACGTGCCCCTGAGCCCCTGCCGCAGCGCCCGGCAGCACCAGGGCTTCACACGGGGGTCCCTGGGCTCTCTGCCCCATCCCACACGCCGGTGCTGGGAGGCAAGGTGCTGCAGGAGGCTGAAAGCTCACAGGGGACGCACGGGGGTCCCATCCCCGCTGTTCCCAGTGCTGCCCTGCTGACGAGGACCCCTCTGCCAGGCCCTGCAGCTCCCACCCGGAGCCGGACCCCACGCCTCGCCACGCCACGAGGAGCCCTGAGCCTGCCATGGAGGGCCCGGAGCTGCCCGTCCAGGCTGAGATGGTGGAGCTGGTGCCCAACGGGAAGCACGCGGCTGCACTTGGCACCACCACCATCCCCTCGCTGCCTGGTGACAGGTAGAGGCTTAGGGACAAGCGCCTTCTTCAGCTGGGGCTGGGCATCAGGCTGGTCAGCCAGTCCTCTGCTTGGGACTGGGGGCTCTGGGGTCAGCGGGCTTGGGACGCTTGGGGTGCTCACGGTTCTCGGGATGCTTGGGACACATGGGACACTTGGGGTGCTTGGGTCACTTGGAATGCTTGAGGCACTTGGAGAACCTGGGGCACGGGTTCTTGTGGTGCGTCAGGTGCTTGGGATACTCAGGGTGCTTGGGGGCATTCAGGGTGCTTGGGGGCACTCAGGGTGCTTGGGGGCACTTGGGACACTCAGGATGCTTGGGGATACTCAGGGTGCTTGAGAGCTCAGAACGCTCAGGGTTCTTGGAGCACGTGGGATGCTCAGGGGGCTTGAGGTTCTTTAGGCACTTGGGACACTTGGGCTCCTTGGAGCACTCAGGCTGCTTGGGGCACTTGGAGCACGTGGGGGTACTTGGGGTGCTCATGACACTCAGGGTTCTTGGGACGCTTGGGGTGATTGCAGTGCTTGGGGAGATACAAGGCACTTTGAAAGCTTGGAAGTCCTGGGGTGCTCAGAGCACCTGGAGAGACTTGGGAATCTCTGGGATCTTGGGATGCTGGGCTTGCTCGTGGCACTTAGAATGCTCAGCATGCTCAGGGGCTTGGGGCACACATGGGGTTCTCAGGGTGCTGATGGGGCTTGGGGCATTGAGAAAATTGGAGAACTGCTCTTGGGGCTGAGGGTGCTTGGGGTGCCCTGGGGAGCTGGGTGCTGTGGGGTGCTGCTGGGAGGGCTGCATCCAGCCCAGCTCCACTCAGTCCAGCTGCCCTGCTCCTCCCTGTGCACCCAGG